TGAGTTCGGAAGCAATCAGAAAATAATTTCTAATGGTGAGAAAATTGCCATGCGAAGGAACTCTTCTCGTATCAGTGAGTAAATCGAGGTAGGAAACCTTTGATGACCTTGATGAAAACTTTAAGCGATCAAGCAAGCCTTTTTGTATATTTATATTTTAGATAGTTGCAGTGCTGGGTTAGCTGATGGGGTTGTGTTGCCAAAATCGGGTGGACACTGCACATGGAATTTTTTTGAAATTTTTTGGAAAATCTGGGAATATCATGGAGTTTTGTTTTCTTCATTGAGTCGACAGCCGACCTTCGAGAGGTCCGGACCATCTTTCATTCCTTTATTTAACGTCGGTCTCTGTTCCGCAATCTAGTGCCGACGGACATCGATTGCCATCCATTGACGGCAATCGAATGTGCAGGAAGGTAGCTTCCACACCTGCATAGGATATCGCACATATTCAAACACACATGGGCCGGGACCAACGGCTTTACTTCCCTTCCGAAGGAAGACGTGACCAGAGATTTTTATGCCTCAGAAAAATCCTACCGACCTCGGCTGGGATTGAACCCAGACCCATTACAGGCACCGGCTCCTGACTATCCGTAAAACTGATTAATTCATAAAGAAGATCCAAGAGTTCCGCGGATGTTCTGATGCTTCATGTATGAATTACCATCTAGGACCAACAAGTGCAATCAGGTAGCCACGGAGTGGTCCTCCAGAAGATCTGGAACATCCACAAAAGTAGTCAATTCGCATAACAGATCCTAGAGATGCGATCTTTTTCTAAATCAGTTGTTGTGAAGCTTAATGAATGAATTTTGATCATACGTGGACAATGAAACGTACGTAAAAGTGATTCGAGATCCTTCTTTTCTTCTTCCTCCTCGCATATCAAGTTTATTGCTTATCACATATTAACTTATTGCATGCTCTTAGCGCAGGGGCCTCATAGCCTAGTCAGTGTATTACCGAGGCAGCGGATGCGATTCCCTGTCCCGTCGAGGGAATCTTTCTGGTTGGATTTTTATAGGCTTTTCTGGGCATAAAGTATCATTGTGCTTGCCACACAATATACAAATTCATGCATTGGTATTGGCATTGAAAGCTCTCAATTAATAACTGTGGAAGTGCATTTAGTTGAACACTAAGTTTAGAGCACGCAATAAGCTAATATGCGCTAAGCAATAAACTTGAAATGCATATATGAAAAAGAAGAATGCTCTTAGTGTTCTAGATGCACTTCTTCATTATTAATTGAGAGTTTTTGATGCCTGTACCATTTTTACATTAGTATAATTGTGTGGCAAGTAAAATCATACTCTATGCACAGGGAAGTCGAGATATTTTCCAACCCTAAAATTCCTAGACCGGACCGGGAATCTAACTTAGCCACCTCCAGCATGGATTTGCTTCGTAGCCGCGCTTTTACCGACTGAGCTAAGGGAGGCCCCCAAAAATCCTTGCTCTTCACGATTTGTTTGAAATCACATATTGTGAAGCTACATGATTGAACCCTAGTCTAATGCTATCTTCGCACTACAGAGCCATAACATATTAGAAGGCTATCTAGATGAGGTTTTTCTTATTGATAATTATTATAACACCCTTGCAATATGTTATTACTTTGAAGTCTGAACAAGGCATAAGTTTTGCGGAAGATCCAATACATTTGAAAAAATGGCAAATTCGTAAAAACTGATCCAAATGCTCCATGGGTTTTTTGATAAGATTTGAAAAGGAGATTTTTAATTAATTTTGAAGTGGTGACCTACATACTAAGTCTAAGCAGTTGCCGAGATATTCACATTGGCAAGAGATAAGTTTTCTGGAGATCTTGACAATCTTTAAATATGTGGTTGTCAAAATTCTAAATACTCATCTGAAGGTCTCTAGACGTCTTAAAAAAATTCTGATCATTTTAAAAGATCTCGCAATTTTCTTGAACATAATGGAACTACTCTGATCTTCGCAGAAGTTGCTGTAATTATTTGCAGATCCCTAAACTGCCATGAAAATCATGGAACACCATTTAAATGTTCTCACATATTCGTTATGCTTTTGTAGTTCCCCTTACGTTTACTTATTTAAAATGACAGTCCGGTACTTTGATAAAGTTTCGGAAATTCCCTGAGTTTCTCGAAACTTCCTTTAACCTTTAAATTTCTTTGAATTTACCGAAATATTTATGAAGTTTTCTTAAGTTCTATGGAGCTCTCTGAACTTCCCTCGGATCCCTGAAATTTTCAGATCTTCTTAAGAGCTCTCGAGGCTTTTATGAAGTTTATGGATTTCACCTGAATTTATCGGACTTACTCTTACAGATCTTCAAGCTTCCCTGAAAGCCTGGCCTTCCTTGAAGTTCTCGGAACTGCACTGTTTAGGCCTAGCTTCTTTGAGATACTTGGATCTTCTTTACAAAGTCAGTTTTGGCATCATTCATTTAATTTATTTCGCCTTTATATCCGAATGCGCGAACCTTGGCCTTAACCCTAGCCATAAGGTTCTGCACGACCTCAGAATCGACAGTTTTTTTTCATATTCACCCATGCTTTCTTCATTTCTTCTACATTCTTCACCACTTTAGGTCGTTTTTGGAGGTGCTCCTTCATAATGGCCCAGTATTTTTCTATTGGGCGCAGTTCCGGAGTGTTTGGGGGGTTCAGATATTTCGGCACGAAATCGACATCAGTCGCCTTATACCAGTCTAGCACGTCCTTCGTGTAGTGGCATGATGCCAAATCCGGCCAGAAGATCGTCGGACCGTCGTGAGCCTTCAGGAGTGAGAAGCTGATTTCGGAGACACTCTTCCAAATACACTTGTCCATTTATGGTGCTTGCGGCAACGAAAGGTGTACTCCGCTTTCCGCAAGTACAAATCGCTTGCCAAATTAGGACTTCTTGACAAACTTCGTGTCATCTTCTGTGTCCGGAGGTTCTCGGGAACATAACACTTATGCTTGGCAGTCACATACAGGTTTCCTGGAATTTGTTTGAAGTCCGCCTTCACATATGTCTCGTCATCCATTACGCAGCAGTGTGGTTTCGTTAAATTCTGGTTGTACAACTTCCGGGCACGGCTTTTTGCGACCGTATTCTGTTTCTCGTCGCGGTTTGGGAACTTATGAACCTCAAACGTACGTAGTCCAGCTCGAGTTTCGGTATTATGCACGAAAGTCTTGCTCACATGCAACTTTTTAGTCACATCTCGAACTGAGGCGTTCGGTTTCCGTTTAAAGGCCCCAATCACGCATGTGATGTGATGTGATCGTTCTCGTTGACCTGACTGCGTTTTTTCCGGATCTTCTCTTCTGATCAACAGTCAGACGTTCTTCGAACCGTGTTATGATACCAGACACCGTGGAATTCACGATTCCAAACTTTTTCCGATGGCACTATGCGATAGATCCTTGTTCTCAAAGTACACGTGCAAAACTTTTTCGCGCACGCACTGTTCTTTCGTCGCTATTTTGAAAACTTTTGCGCACCTGATGAAATCAACTCACAGAGAACAATTCACATTAAACTAAGTCCACAACAAACAAATTTCAATTAATTCTACCCAACGGATAAAAAGTTAGAGCAATTTGAGTGTGTGCGAATTTTAAACAGTACACGTACGGTACGGTAAAGTTCTCAGGATCCCTAAATTTATCAGACTTTCTTTAATGTTCCTGAATATTTCCTAAAACTATTGGAACCACTTTTAAATTCCTGAAGCTTTCCTGAAACACAAACATTTTGAAAAGTTTTCGGAACTTCCCTTATGTTCCCGGAGTCTGCTTAGTAAACTGCACTGAAATTCTTAGTATTTATTTTCATTCCTCAGCCTCTCCTGGAGATGTCTAATGTTTCCTGAGGTTCACGGAACTAACTAATGTTCTCGCTGTTCTTCTGATGACGTTCCTGGAATTGTCCAGAAATCAATGGAGCTGCCCAGCAACTTTTTGAACTTCCCTGAATTACCGTGAAGTTCTTAAAACTTCTGTGTGCCTTTATTATTTGTTTACGTTTATTAAATTTTCCAGCAATTTTTTGGACTCTCATTATATTTTTGGAACTACTTGATTAAAACAGCAAAAAAGGTTATCTTCCATTTAATTCCAATTAATTAATTTTGGTATCCATGACAGATACGTATTTCGACTACAATTTGCAGTCTTTATCAGTGTCATTCCCACTAAAAAACTTATCAAATTCTTGACTCTTATACCTAGGGGATGAGCACTTAAGGGGGATAGATTTTGATAAATTCTTTAGTGGGAATGACACTGATAAAGACTGCACATTGTAGTCGAAATACGTATCTGTCATTTTGAGAATTTACCTGAATTTCACGTAACTTACCTATAAATCTTTAAACTTAACTGAAGTTTTGGCAACTATTGTTAATTTATTGTAATTTTCCTGGATTTAATGGAACTGCTCTAATGCTCTTTGATCTTCACTGCAATAAGTTTTCCTGAAATTTTATGAGATTATCCTGAAGCTGTCAAAACTTACTCTTAGCGATCTTCTAACTTCCTCAAAGCTCTAGCAATCAGATCTTATTAAAGGTTCCAACATTTTTTTCTGATATTAATGGATCTACCGTATTAAACCCGACCAAATTGATACACTCACTGGCTTAATTATGGATTATATTATGTTTTCTCGTGTAATTTACTCATTTTTTCTAAAGTTTGATTATATTTATCACAAGAGATGGAGCCGTATTTACCTAAAGGTTCCTATTGAAAACCATAAATTACATAATTAATTTGGAGGTGAACTATCTTCATAGATGCGCTTGATCATTCATGAGGTGGCCAAAATAATGTCTATTGAGCACTGATCAGTTCTTTGTTAAATGTTTGAGTAAATTTGTTTTTAAAAGATTTATCATCAACAAATTTGGCGAGAGTGGAATTACGCCCGGAGATTTTTTCGGTCTTCTTTTTGTTCAATTGTATATATTCCAAATGAATCGGGAGTGACTAGATACTTCAGAATCAGTTCGTTTTGCATATTAAAACAATATAATTCGTAGTTTTGGTGTAAGCCGTAACAACCAGATGCATCATAGAGTTGAAAATTGGAAATACGCCATGTAAAAGGAACCGGTTTTGATAATTTTCAATGATGTTTTCTTCTACTTCTTCGCGTTTATTCGAGTAAATTGTGAATTTTTCTCTCGTTTTGTTGCAAAATATGGTTTGTAACATTTTGGTTCTTCCGCCCCTTACAATTTTTTTTGCTGGTTTCAGATCCCAAATTATTCATGCAGCATGACAAAAAGTACCATATAAGGCAACAGAGTTCTAAAATCTTTTAAACGAATTGACCACTTTTACAAATATTCCAGATCTTCAGAAGGACCGTTCCGTGACCAGCGGAGTGCACATGTTGGTCTTAAATCCAAATTAATTCATGTAGCTTCACAACAAGCGATTTAATAACGGTGCTCTAGAATCATTTTTACGAATTGAACACTTTTACGGATATTGCGGATCTTCCAGAGAACCATTCTATGACCATCAGTGTATACATTCTGGTCCCAGCTTCAAATACATTCATGTAGCATCACAACAAGTGAGTTTAAAAAAAAAATCGTTGGGCTATAGGATCTTTTTCACGAATTGACAACCTTTGCGGATGTTTTGGATCTTCCGGAGGACAGTTTCTTAAGCCACTTGGTCTTTAGTTGGATCTTAACCTACAATATTCAGTCTTCATGGCTAGGTATTGTGGAAAAAAAATAATCACGAATCTCTGCGATCATTTTGCCATCACACCTCGCAATTTTAAGAGCACACAACTCAAGATCTACGAGGTTCAAACATCTGCAAATTTCAGACATTGCTTGCTTCTCCGCACCAAACAACAAGTACATAGTAGTTTCAGCTACGTGCATTCACAGAAACCTTATTATTTTTACATGTGAAATTGCGAAGTGTAACACGAAAAAGTACGCTAAAGGGAATCACCAACAACGCCAATCGTTAAAATTGGTAGCGTTCAGAGGGCGTATTTTGCCCGCTTTGTCATTTTACCCCCATTTCCCTTTTAATAAAACAGAATGCTAAAAAATAAGAAAAAAAAAAATATTAAAAATAGCCCCTTTACTTTCAAAATGACATTGTCAAGTTGCGTGAATTTCGGCAACCCACGACCTATGGATTGAGATGCGCTGATCTAGACACATCCACATTTATACTTCACCTTCCAAAGCAACCTGTTTTGCACATTTCACCTTTATTTCGATAAAGTCAATTAAAACAACATACGGACACGATTTACGTATAAGAGTTCCCGACTCAATCGCTGGATACTAGTTCTTCAAATTGTAGCACGGTTGAGCCGTACTGGGAGGCGCAGGAGTCGTTGTGGTGGTCGTCGTCGTAGTCGTAGTAGTGGTCGGTGGTTCCGGACACGGTGGTGGTGGAACGGTCAGCACTGCGGTGGCGACACTCTGGATCAGGTCCAGCCAAGGAGTGATTTTTTGCAGACAGTTTTTAAAGATGGCCAACACCAGATCCTTCTGCCTTTTTCCGTCCCATGCAGCTTTCGCTGCATCGATGCACTGCTGTGTTTCTGGAGTCAACAGCTCCGGGTTGCCGAACTGGGTGTATAGAATATCCAGTCGGATCCCCTGTTCGGGACTGTAGAAGTAACCGCGTACAAAGAGCACGTAGATAAGTTCAGTAATGTGTTGTTGATCCAAAATGAGTCCATTGCTGAAGTTGATCAGTTCATTTTGGGGAACGTTCACGATAGCGAAAGAATCCCGGACAAGTTGTTGCTGTTCCAGTTCGGAGTAGGCAATGAATTGCTCACTTTGGTTCAAATTCCCGTACTGGCGGTAATAGCATTGGAAGGCATTGTAGGCAAGCGTTTGGTTGTCACTGCATGGCGTTCGGGAGTCTGCAATGCAATCACGGGTTCGATCGGCGTAGCACGTGTCCTCGGGAGCAGGGTTAAAGAAATTACCCATTACACTTTCGACGACCCCTGATTCATCCCGCCAAGCAGCTATGTTGATACAGGCACAGTGCATCAGTTTTTGGTTTTCGGGATCGTTTGGGTATGCGTTGACAATGTATTCCTCGACGGTGCAGTTGGGTACTTCATAGTATACGGCACACTCCCGGTAAGCAGTGTCGAAGCTCTTGAATAAGGCGTAGTGAGTAAATGTGCCTGTGACGTACGATGTCGATATGGCACACAGAGTGAGGGCTAGGATGGTTGCGAAGGTTCGCATGATGACGACACTCGACTACTGTGCAGGTTCTGTTCGGGGGAAAGGTGAATACGGGAACTGAGTGAGTGCCGATGCGGGAGACCGTATTTAAACCTTGCTAAAGACAATAGAAAATAAGACAAACGAGTGGAACGTGCGATAGGCGCACTGTTGCGTTCGGATGGCAAACATTTTCGGTCATGTTTGGAGAATGAATGTGGTTCTAGTAAAAACAGTTGCGTTGTGTAATCTGAGGTGCAGTGAAACTTTATTAAAATTTTAAGAAAGTGCTACTTCAAAATTAACTAACTGAGCCAGCGCTGTTCAGTTGACGCAACAATTCCAAGGTCAGCAGTGTAGAGTGTTGAAGCTCATCAAGCTTGTTGACATTTAATTAGAAAGCTGCCCAGAATTTTGTCTCTTCCCCGACGAAGCTTACGTCATTTCCCAACTCAGGATTAGTGACCCATTAATGCAGCATCATTTTTCAATTTCGATCAAGGAAGGGCCGGAAATCAGAACGCTGCGATGCGAAGATACGACCGCAATATAACTGAGAGGAAAGTTGGTCTCTTTCCCCTTGGTCGACTTCTGCCTGTCAAAAAAGGCGTCAATCTTGATCAATCAACGCCCGGTTGGGTGGCTCGAAAGATGACTAAAGATTTTGCTCCGTTTTTTTTTTTCTGAAGAAGATAATTCTCAACGAACTGTTTGCTGATTAAATGCTTGCAGCATCACAAATGTTCATTTCTATCCGGCAGACATTTTCGCACACAATTGGCGCCCCCTCAACATCTGATGGATTAGACAACAAATTGGCGCTAATTAGATAAGCTATAGTGGATTGTTGTGATTTACCCAGCGAAATATGGATCATGGACTATAGGATTTATTCTGCTCAGTGCTTGGATACGAAAAGTGAGGTATTTCGATGTCGATTTTTGTGAGTATCCGCTCACGTGCACATGAAATGAATCCTAATGAATCCGAGGATTAGGTGCGCACGCTAATTGCCTTCGTAGCACGTTCTTTGAAGATTATACGTTGTCTAATCGAAAAGCAACAGCTGTAAATTGGTGATGCTGCGCTATGGAAGGCGACATTAATGGTCGACAAATCGCCTATAGTGAATTTTTCTCTATTTATCGTCAGCAGTCGCTCGTTAGCTGGCAACATCAATGGAGTGAAGGGAGCATGGGACGATGGCTACATTCAATTATCCCTAAGGTGTCGAAGTTTGCATGGTTCAAAGGGTTGGACTTGGGTCGAGACTTCATACGCGTGATGTCTCGTCTCATGTCCAATCACTATTGTCTAAACGCTCACTTGTTCCGTGTGGGGTTGGGAGACAGCAATCTCTGTGAATGTGGACAAGGTTACCAGGACGCTGATCACATCCTTTGGTCTTGTGCGGAGTATCGTGGAGTCAGATCACATTTTTATGATTCCCTTCGGGCTCGAGGTAGACAACCTAATGTTCCAGTTCGGGATATTTTGGCTAGACGCGATCTGGAGTTTATGAAACTCATATATGTTTACTTTAAGGATATTAACCTTAGATTGTAAGTTTGATTAACCTTGTGTTTAGTTTGTATTTTGTAAATGTGGGGTTTTTTTTCAATGTTTGTTTTCAAGATGAATAGAAATAATTTCATGCTTTAGGATTAATTAAATAGTTGTATCGTAAACCATATTTCAAACCTCCTTCTTCCCTTTTCCCATCCAAAAAATTGTAAATCTCTACTAACCTCGAGACAACCGCGAGTACTCGGTCCAGTTCCTTTAACTTTAAATTTAAGACAGTAATAATGTATAACGCAAAGGATAACTCGGCTCTGTAAAGTTTATTCGATTGAGCCTGTACAAATAAAGTAATTATATAAAAAAAAAAAAAAAAAATTGGTGATGCTATATTTAGTTACCAATGCTCTCCTTAGGGGACATGCAAAAATGACGAAGCATTTAAGGGTGAAAGGGGGAGGGGGTCCAAATTTGGTTAAAAAACCTACGTCATTTATGGATGTTCCCTTGTGAGATGAATACTCTGGCTGCTGATTAAAACGTGTATGCTTAGGATCAATGAAAAGTTTACATTGTGAATAATGGTCCGGTTTGATTAAAATTTCATACCTCAATCGAAATATAATATTAAAAACAGTCATCCCTCTAGTTGTATGGGGCTGGATCAAATTACGACCAGTAGTATTTTTTTTTAATAGGGGAAATGGATGTAATGGTGGCCCAAATGCCCCTAATTTGGGTCCATACTTAAATTCAGCAATCGACTAAATTTTCGAAAGCGACCAAAAATATCCATTAGTATCGTCCCAATGACGGCACCGGTAGATTAAATTGATAAACAGCAGATTTTTAGCGATGGGCCCAATCTTAGATCCATAGGCCAACATTAGAGCCATTTCCCCTATTTATAAGGATGTCACTAATCGATTAGTTAATCATATCGTCTGGCCATTTTCCACAGAGGTGGCGCTGTTCCGCTGGTAGGAAGTAATGAAAATCTGCATATATAATTGAGAGAAGCGGGAATAATTCGCTTTCGATGCATATTCAGGTCAAAACAGTGAACGGCAGTCTAAAGAAATAATTCATGGACATTGTCGTTCACTTATTTCCTGGAAATTATTGTTAAACAAGCTACAATTAAATACAAATGATTACATTACGTACATTTTTACCCGTTTTATTACCACTTCCCAAAGAGCCAAACATTCTAATTTTAGAAAGTTGTTTTGTTAACTCGATCAACAAGAGTAATAAAAAAATTAAAACAGAGTGAAGTGTTAAAGGCAGAGTCTTCAACCTGACTTTCACACTTCACACGAGGTTGTGTCTGCTCTTTACTTAGTGTTCTTTGATTTCTTGCTCAGTTAATAATTGAAAGCTTTCAATGCTAACCTATCCAAGAATCAGTTCTCCCTGCCCACGCAAGTCTAGGATGGCGCCGAAGCTACAATGTTTAGATATTCATCATGGGGCTATTCCATCCTCTGTCAGAAAAAACGTTATAAATGCCCACTTGGTGGCATTCGGTTTTTTTTTCTCTTTTCGATCTGACTAAAACTCGACCATTTTCGATTCCATCCAAAAGATTAGCTCCACCAAACGGTTACAAAAACCTCGTCTTCTTTATGGTAGGGCGGTTCACCTCCAGGGCTGGACTAGACGAACCGTTTTGCGAGATTAGTGTGTGATATATTAATGTTAATGGCAGAAGTAATGGAGTCAAAGCTTTGTGTCACTTGGACAGGGACGAGTTGGGGTACCAACTGAACTTGAGTTGCCGTTCACTTGACGCGTGAAAGGAAATATAAAAGTGAAGAAACATTTTTGACAAAACTTTCGCTTACATTTTATGATCCCAAGCTTCTCAGGGGAGGTGAACTGTGGGTGGGCATTGAATCGTTTTATTTGATGGCTTATTGCTTCAGGGACTTTTATATGGTATTGTTATTGAGTAGGGAAAATGTGTTCGATTGAACCCGATTCTTGGAGCCGATATAGTCTAGACCAACAATTGCAGTAGGCGGAACAACCAAACGTAAAAAATGGATTTAAATGCAAATTTCTCGAAAATTAATCGGCAATCTAATACCAGCATCTCAAAAAGCAAACTCCCTTTATCTAATGGCATTGTTAGTGTGCGTAGATGTGTTAAGATTCTCGAGAAATTTGCGTTTAAAGTCATTGTTTAAGTTTGGTTGTTCCGCCTATTTCAATTGTTGGTCAAGTAGTCATTTAACGAGTACCTCGTGGTGCGAATGCGTAACGATCGATTCCGCTTCCAAGCCATGAAAGGGTGCGAACAATTATTATCACATCTCACGAGCATTATCCGTGAACACGTTGCAGGTCAAACTTAGAATAAAATGTAGTACTTGTTTTAAAAAATTACCGCCCATCAAAGAAATTTCACCGTACATTGTTATCTATTTGCAAATCGTTACCCGCACAGCAGCTTCCCAACTTCAGCAGTATCTTCAGTGTCAGCCAGCGTGAGTAATTACCTTTCTGTAGCAACCTGTTAAGAGTCATAAAACTTTCCGCAAGCACACCGAAACCAGCAGTTCAGCTTTTCCGCCTTCTTCACGCAGGGTACTTATTCTTCACTTTCTACTTTACAACCCGCATTCCGTCATATTTGCCACGGTGCGCGGTAGTGACGGACAGGATGCGGTGGTGCACACTTTACAGGCGGATGGAAACTTTATGCTTTTCGCGCCATTTCCTTTCCCTGTTTGGAAAGCACCGAGTACACAGGTGGAAAGCAAAATATGTTCTGTACTGGGTGATGCGGAGTGGTTTTTGCTTCAATGTTGGTAGCGCTGAAATAATCGATTCATCACCATTTTTAGTTTACATGCGTAAACTCAGGAAACAGAAGGTAGAATCATAATGAACATTTTTTTGATGAACATGTTTATAGTGAGGCTTAAATTCCTACTGCATCCGTTTATAAATCACGAGTGAATTCTCATATAGTCGTAACTGCTTTTGTAAAAAAAAAAAAAAAACATTGAGGTACGGTAAACTTTTCCCAACATTATGCTGGGGTTATCCAACAAACATTGAAAGCTGAATAAGAGCTTATTCAGGCAAAAATAAGCTTATTCAGCCTTTAATCATCACAAATTGTTTGTTGGGTAGTTTGAGTGAGGTCAGGTGCGATAAGAGTTTCGAAAAATTGACGTTTGAATATTTGTTTATAAAAAAAAGATACGGCCAATTGAAAATGCAGAATGATTCGAGGTGAATTAGAATATTTTTATATTGATGGACTGCAATATTTGTATATTCGTTTCTTCATACCAGGAGAGAAAAAATTTGACAGCTTGATTTTAAGGTCCATCTTCGCATCACCCAGGGTTTGTATATGACCGGGGATTGCGTGCACTGAGGTGAAAAGGGGAAACTTTTGCTGTTCAAGTTGGCAAACAATAGCGGGCTCTGCAAAAGTCTCTCTTCTACATGATGATGATGATGATGACGATGCTGCAGCTGTCTTGCAACAGGAGCATTCATATGCCTTTCGGACTCGCCGGTGTTGGTGGCATTTGTTGTTAGAAGTGGAAATAGGATAACAAAAAAAAAAACTTCTGAGTTGTGTTCGGGCGGAAGCGGAAGGGAGGTATCACTGTCCAAGTCTCACGGAGTCTTTGTTGTTGGACGGATGGTGAAGTTTTGTCGGTAAGAAACATTCTTCAGGTATTCTTTGAATCGGCCCCGGAGGTAAAAGTCGCCATGGCATCGGAACAGCATTAGGTGCAATAAAGTTTAAAGAAAAATGCAGAATGCATTGGAATGCAGCTTTTCGCATAGTATATGTCGAAGTTTATCATGAGAGGAGGTTAGGAGGTACAGCAGCGGAGAAGATCTTTGTTTCGAAGTTTCATCGGAAACTATTATAAATTAGAAATTGATCACTAAACTTTAATGCATTTTCAACGGAAAGTTGTTTCTTCTTCTTTTTATTTTTTCATTAGATTCATCAGGGCATTGGTTTTAATTTTTTTAATGAAAATTGACTTTATTGTTCATTTGAAATTATCTACAGGATTGAATGAAGAATGTAGAGTTTTGTTTTAATTAGTTTATCTATTAGGACTTCGAAGAAAATCCTACATTCGGTGTGACCATGAGCAAGCATGGGAAAATTCATTCACTCACACGAGTACCACAGAAACAAAATTGCCATCCTCACCTACAAACAGATTACCGAACAAGTGTACCGAGGAAGAGCCCGATTGAATGCGTAAAACCCAAACGCTAACGATTTAAATAGCCGAATGAGATGTTTTTTGGATCAGTGAACAGATTTAAAAGTTGAATCGGCCACAGATGTTTTACAGT